CTATTAATACCTCTTTTAAACTTTTAAATTAATAAAACTCATGAACAAAGAACTAGAATGGAACTCAGCAGAGCGTTTACCACCTCCAAGTTCCAACAGTCCCCTTAAATCCAATGAAACTGCACCAACAGTCAAACAAATGCTGATGAAAACTTACAAACCTCTTTGTTCCATATTTTCCACATTGTTTTTGTGGTTGTTTGACCGCTTGTTGTCCTTAGAAAGTTTGGTTTGATAAGACTTCTGTGTGCTTGTAGGAGAATGTTGCTGAGAGGATGTGGAGAAATATGTTACCTGAACAAACTGCTCATGCTGTCTGTGTTAGGATGGCTTTTCCAGGTGAGACACACCCTGTGGATGTTGGTTTGCTTTTGTATAAAATAACACACAATGAATTGTAGAACACAACAGGTCTATGTGATTGAACTTGTTTTTAAATTGTGCAGATTCCTGTGATTCCTGAGGACATTTTCTTCACCAGTGAGTTCACCGAGGTCGCTAACCTGGAGGACGGCAACAAAAGCAGCACAGGACTTGTAAGTAAAATATTCATTCTACTATTTTTTTCTGCATGAAGTACCCGCTGCTCTTTATCATTCATACTGAGGGCTTTCTTGTTATTTTCAGGACTGTATTCCCCTGGTGGATCAGCAGCTTCTTTATACATGTTGTCCATTTCTTGGTGAGTGGAAATTTGTTGACCTTATATATTGTGTTGAGGATTATGGGCACATTTTTGTGTGTTCTCTACAGAAGAGGTAAATGCTGTTAATCAGGAGCCAGAGGTTTTATGTTACCTGCCTTTGTTGTATCGGTTCAGGTGAGTTTCGTAAGCTCCTCGCAGCCTTCGTGTCTGGAAGCACAGCAAAAAGTGGAGGAATTATCCGCAAGATCACTCCCACGTCTGCTGAGCTCAGGGATACACCCGCTGCCAACCGGTCACATCAGAAACTACAGGTGAGTAACAGGAGAGGTTGAAAGTAGAAATTCGAAATGGCATCAATGAACTCCAACGGTTTATAAACCATCTGTTTAAATGTGACAGGTGGACCTCGAACAAGCCTTCTTTCACAACCAGCCTCCGTCGCTGCGTCGCACCGTGGAGTTCGTGGCCGAGAGAATCGGATCCAACGGCGTCAAGCATATGAAGTTAGTATCACTCAGGCTTCACTGTACAAGCTGTGAGCAGATTTAGAGGTTTCCAAGTCATGAGTTTGTAAATCAGCTGTTTCTTTCACAATGTTTACATTTTACTTTGAGGAGCTTTCCACCAAATTACTTTTTAGAATTGAAAAAGACTTTCAGAGCTGCAGGTAATCAGTCTGCAAACTTGGTTGGTTGCCTACCTAAGAAGGTAGTCACTGGTCAACAGCATCAATTTACCAGCACTTAGGTGGTGGCTGAATTTACTGCCCTGTGCAGATGTAGACGCATCTTATTTCCTGCAGGGCATCTGTGTTCAGTTAGATTTCTTTTTTTTAATCTATGTGTTTGTGTGTTGATATTCATTTCGGGGTTTTTTCTGCAGAGCTACATTGGTGAATGAGTTGGTGGAGAGAGGAGAGAAGCTGCTGAGAGGTGGACTGGAGATGCCCAACTCCAATCCGTCAAAACTGAATGAATCCATCTGTGCTCAGCTGTGTGTTGCAGGATTGGATGCCCTGCCGAGAGCCACGAGGTACAGCAGCCTCTTTTACAAGCAGCAAGCAAAACTGTTTTGCTGTCAAGTCCATAGATTTATGGCCCTCACGTTTGATAATCGGAAAAAATGATTGTTTATTTGGAAGTATTTCACTTCTGGGGGGTAATCCTATCTTTATGGTAATCTCTGTCTTGTGTGATTTGCAGGTTCTGTTGTGAGAAGAGTCCTGAAGCCATAAGAATTCTGCTCCCTGATGAGACCTCTCCTGCTGTAAGTCCCGTGAAAAAATTACCATGTAAAACAGATGGTTATTAAAAAAAAACTTTCTCAAAGCCTCTGAGACAAAGTTCCACACAGTCATTTACAATTTCATAAAGTAAAATGCAGATTCGATTTTTATAACACTTGTGACCATCTCTCTGCAGGTCCTGACCACATCAGAAAATATCACCAAACGTCTTGCAACAGAAAAAGCCTGCAGCTGGCTCTCTGCTAACATCACAGGTAGCTAGCTATAGCACCATAATTATGTTTTTACATGTTTTTTCTCTGTCTGGCCATTTTCTAGCAGAAGCTCCTATTTCAGACATTTTTATCTCATTCCTTAAAAAAAATGTTTTTGCAGGCCTACTTTACTAGAACTTTACAAGGATACTTGTTATGAAGTGATAATTCAAAAACACTGCTATGATCCTTTGTGGAACTGAAACTTTTTACACACTGCCCATCTTAGTTTTCGGTTCCTTGTCCTCGCTGCTGTTGCTTGTCATCTAGAGTTTCGTCGCCTCGCCCATTTGTCACATGTGATACGTGCGGTCAACTGTAGATGGTTATTTTGGTATCATACCAGCAGCATTACATAAAACTGACACCTTTCACTGCAGTTTCATAAGATGGAGCTGACACCAGTGTGTCTGCCGCTGAGCCGATAGTGTGGACACGCTTGTGTATAAGCCGCAACAGTTCAGCGGGGTAGCCACCATGAATACCTAATGCAGACATTGTGCCTCAAGTGTTAAAGCTGCTCCGATCTTGTTACAGAACATTTATACAGTTGAATATAAAAGAAAGAAGCCAGTGCAGTGGTTAAAGGTTCCCCGAGGACATCAAATCTAACATTTCCCTTCTGTTTTCTCACCCTCAGCGCTCATAAGGCGAGAGTGGAAGAGCAGATATGACCGTGTGATGAAGGCTCTGGGCAGCCCGGCGGCTCCAGACTCGGGGGACGTTGAGCGGGCCGTGGTCGAGTTGGTCGCCCAGGAGCAGTCAACTACTCCCAAGAGAAAACAAGGAAGTGAGCGAGTACTCTCCTGCCCACCACACTGCAGCCACAGTGCTTCGCTGCCTTCAGACATCCTCATCGAGATGAAGGTGTGGTCCAAGAACATGAGGCAGTATTGTAGCAGATGTTTGGTAATATTTGTCTGAATTTCTGCGCTCGTGTCTTTTTCTTTTTTTAATGTAGGAGTTTTTGAGCATCGCTGTCGGCCCCAGGACTGATGGGGAGCTGCCAACAGACTCTCAGCTGAAAACACTGCTGCACAGAGTGGGGGACACACTGGCCTGCAGAAAGGTACATGAGACGACACAAGTGATACACACGTACTGGATTTACTGAGTTCTGCCTGCACTGGTCACACTCTTGTTATCTCCTCACTTAGTTTTCAACTGTGATGTCAGAGCTGATGCTTCTGAACTCTACTGTTCTGCTGGCCTGCAAACTAGGTGAGAGTCCATGAAAACAATCTCTTTATGACATGTTAAAATGAAAACTGATAATTGGTTGTTCTGAAATAGAAGCAAACGTAAGGGCACATTTACACCTGCTTTGTTTGGTCCCGAACCTCAGACTTTCAGTTTTGGACTATTTAAGTTGAGAAGACATTTAACAAAAGAAGAAGAAGAAGAAAAAAAAGTGCAAGCGGCTCGCAGGATTGCTTGTAATCTTCAATGATATATTTAAATGACAAGGACCTTCATTTTGCTGGTAGTAATACCCTAATGATATTACAGTGGCAATAAATGTAATAAAATGAAGCGGTTCATTAATTTACTCAATTCAAATACTGTTGGCTATGCACTTTATTCAAATCAGTGAGTGAATACAATGGTCATTTTGACAACATGTGGATGTAAGACGCACGCCTGCACCGAAAGTATAAGTAGACGCAGCCCACATGATGACACAACGTACGAATGTCGTAAAAAATTCTTCAGTCCGCTCCCTGAATTACATTGTGAAGCCAAAACTAACTGGATCAAATGAACCTTGATTTAGGACCATGGTGTGAAAACACGTAGCTACATTCAGACCTGTGTGCGTGCGTGCGTGCGTGTGTGTGTGCGTGTGTGTGTGCATGTGCATGAATGCGTGCGTGTGCGTGTCCGTCCCGCTCAGTGTCTGCAGAGCTGCCGGTGCTGCCTGTGTCTGTGTGCAGCGGAGGGGGGGAGGTTACTGCAGGTCCCGGTGCAGGTTCAGAGCCTCCTGTCAGATCGCTACTGGAGCAACTCGCTGAGCTGTGGGAGAGAGACTGCTGCTCCTCCGCCCCGCTCCACCTGCTCTTCTCCCCACTCACCGTCACTGCTGTGCTGAGAGCCAGCGACACCGAGGTACATCATTTACCTCTATGCTAACACACTCCCAATATAATACGATGAACAAGAGCGTTTGGCTCATTGGAATTTTTCATTAGATTTGCAGTTTATTTCCTTGCATTGATATTTCACAGTGTCTGACGGGAACGAAGGGTGGAAGGAGAGGGTAGATTTGTTGAAAGTATTACTTTTCTCTGTGAGGATGAATTTCTCTGTGTCTTTAGTGGAACAACTACCTGTTCCTGGTTAGAAAGCTGGTCGACAGAGGGATTTTGAGCGAGGACGAGGTCATATCTCATTGGAGGAAGCTAACAAACGTGGCCCTGCCGGCGGTGAGGGCTCTCTGCTTGTATAATGATACATTCCAGTTGAACTATTACTTCCACTGGTGATTTGACCTCTTTGACTCTTTCCCCCGCTTTGTTCTGCTCACTTTGTTCTCTCATTTCGGTCTCATTTCAGGAGCTGATAGAGAAATTTCAGCTGCAGTCTCAGAGAATTAAACTCTCCTCGCCTCTGGCTGAGTTACCCAGTCACATGGACATGCTGCAGGTCTCACCTCAGACGGTAGAGGGCGCTACGTGACAGCGATAACGCCAGCGAATGTCCCATGACATCTTTTGTGTGATCGCCACAGTTGTTTCAAGTCACATCCATCAGTGTGGTGTTCAACTGAGAGACACTTCTGGGTGAATTCATGGTGTTGACCATTTTTCCAGTCGCCACTCGTGCACAGGGCATCAAAGCTGCGGCTCCGTCAGCCTCTGCTCAGCAAACTTCAGACTTTTGTTCTTCTCCTTCTTGTGAAGTGTCAGCAGCCTTTCATGAATCCCTCTGCTCTTTGGCTAAGGTGCTGGCGAGAACCAGAAAGCCCTGCCAGTCAGTTGTAGTAGCGAGGGACCTCAACAACTCTTCCCTTAGATCTATGGAACCTTCCTGCAAGCAAACCTGTACGCGATTGTGTCTGAGGGGAAATACTAGAAGATCAAGCCTTTCAAACAGTCGAGACTATAGCAGAGCGTGAGCGGAGACAGGAGAAGGGAGACAAAGACGGGTATTTGTGAGTTTTTGCTGCCGAGGATGTAAACTGAGCAACTTTGCTTCTGTACATTTCTCGTGTTCTTGACACCCAAGTTTCTAGCAAAGATTCCAGAGACAATTCATCAGAGACTCTTTCTAAAAATGGACTGAAAATGAATTTATTCCTTATTTTAGACCCAACAGAGAAAATCAAGGTCTTAATTTTAGCGCAGCACTTTCACAAACTGCCTTTGACCGTCACTACTCGTGAATCGCACGTTTATCTCATGAACGCTAGACTGCATTTGTGATTGTTTTTGTTCATGTTGAATGAGCGCCGTTATTCTCTGCTGCTTTTAAAATGAAGTATTTTTTATGTTGCCACAAAGTTTAAAACGTAATAATAAAGATGTATTCTGGTTTAAGTGTGTCGTCATGAGTTGTCCTCTCTTGAACTTAAAGCAATGACCAAGAACACT